AGTTTTGTAAATAGGTTAAATCTTAACATCCCCAAAATAAAAATAAAAATTTTCTTAACCCCAGCACTTCAAAATATCAAATTTTTCCGGACTTGTAAATGAAGCAAATCAATTTCTAAAAAGTTATTCTTAGTATCGCTTGATAATGGAACGGAACTTTGTATTTTAAGTTTAATTTTTATGATTGAATTTAAATTGAAGTTTCAGTTTTAAAACATGGGGATTTCGATAATAATATATATAAAAAAAGCAACAACAATATATATATATATATATATATATATATATATATATATATATATATATATGGAATAACGATACATAAATTTTCATATAATTTTTCCTCCATAAAGAACTACTTGCACTAATATAACTTTATTCATATTACGGATTTGAGGATGCCAAAAAAAATAATTTATATAATTATTTTACGTGCATAGATTCTCTCATCATAGGATACCAATCTCGCCACTACTTCCTGTCATTTGTTGTTTTAAGTACATTATTTTTAAAATTTATATTTGATAAACGCTATTCTTTCTGTTTCTGTAAACCTCTTCAAACAATTTCACAAAATATCATCCTCTGTAGAATATCACCATCTTCATTGTATATCTGTACCTTTCGGGAGGACACATACTAGTGTCAAATGTATTAATAATAATGTTTTTTGTCTTTTTTTTTCTTGTTTTTTTAAATGAAAACTCTTAAATTTTATTGTGAAGTATAATTTTTTAATTAATAATTTAAAATTCTATCGTTAAGGGTTATGATTTTGAAAAGCGGGTTACGGTTGTTGATTTTAAATATTTGCTGTTTGAATAAATTCGAAAACATCTGAATGTGTTACATTTTCTTTTCCGAACGCCCAAGCCAGATTAATTTTAATAAAGAAGCAAATATGTTCATTCCATCCACTGCTGCCTTGCATTAAAATTTTGCATTTAAAATTCAACTAACATCAAGAATTTAAATGAAAATATTGATAAGAACTTAGACACGTTGTCTAATATTAGCAAATCATCATTATTTATTATCTGACACAACGGCCTCATGTAAAAAAAAAAAAACATTTCTGCCTGCTCACGATATGAATATGTTGCCATTGTTAAACAAGTTACTTCTCAGTTAACTCACTACTACACACATTAAGCGTTGAAGCCAAAACTACCCATAAATATACACGAATGACAAATATAGCCTAGTCTACATGCAACACAGCACCATCTACCGTAAATTTTCTTTAACATTAATAACTAAAAAGCAAAATATTTGCAGACATGTTTATATGGACATTGTCCTTATTTTGATATGGGGAACCCGCTCTTAAAGTTTGTAAAAGTATTCTTGATACATCCTATATATATATATAGATATATATATATATATATGTGTGTGTGTGTGTGTGTAGTGGTTATCAACCCATGCAAAGCAGTAAAGCCACTAAAATACAAAGGATTACAGGATGTGGAAGAATTAATAACAGAAACATTGTTAGTGTGCGATAGTAGAGAGCGATTGACATTGCATTTAAATATTTGAATCGCCGAAAAAGGATGAAGCCGTATGTGTGCAGAAATTCATTCTTTTATTGTCTACATTTAAATTTTAACAAGAGAGCCGAAAGTCCGAGTTCAAACTCATTTTAAATGCGGTTTAAACATACTCAAATTTATTTAAGCTTACGCAAAGTATACATCGAATACGTTCTACGAAACCTCTAAAATTTTAATCGTGGCAAAGAACTAGCACAAAACTATAACATCTCTTCGATAATATAATACATGTCAAATATTATCCGGAAAAGAAAATCCCACATCATTTGTCAATTTTATTTTCTGTATCGGTAAGAAAGAAGACAGGCGTCTCCAAAAATTCCGATTTTTTTAATCTTTCCCATACATGCTTCCATGTGGTCAAAAGGCCTGGAAATAATACTAATATACGATACTTTATGAATCATCAAAATATCAAAATAGTCGACACCAAGATGGGTAGCCCCTTGGGGAATATCAAATGCTGTAAGCTTGCATATGCGTCTGGTGTAATGGATAACACCTGGGAATTGGAAATCGGAGAGCTGACTTTATATTCCAGTCTAGTTCTCATATTCATTATACGCATTAAAATCCTTGGAAAAGGTGTGAAGGTATGTCTTCCCCCCACCAGTCACAGGGCAATTAGCAGGATTATATCAGTAAATCATTTTCTCTACAAAAGTTCGTAGAATTTAAAATTAGTATCTGGTTTTAAAATAACATACAAAAGGTTGATAACCCATAAAAAATCAACCGATTATCCAAGTGTTTAACTGTAAGGCTGACAAGGTTCCCTAGCCATGGTTGGTAACAGGTTTAGGTGAAGGATAAAACTGAACTTAAAGCCGGTTGGGTGTGAGCCTGGCAACTACACATATATATATATATATATAAAGTTATACTGTATGTGAAACAATAATTATACAATGTCAGCTATGATGCGCGGAAGCAAAATATGACAAAGCTACTTTCAAAACAAACCAAAAACGATAAAAAGATCAAAGACAGAACAAAAGTGGACGTGGTTGAGTGAAGTGGCAGGACAAGGCACAACTAAGAGGACTGGTAATGATGTTGATACAGATTATATATATATATATATATATATATATATATATATATATATATATATATATATATATATATATATATCTATATATGAGAGAGTGACAGAGAGAGAGTGATGTTGAAAGATTTAGAAAATAATATTTATCTCTATACGATTGTTTGCAGTAATATTCTCGGCGTATTCCAAATATCTTTGGTCGTTTGGTCACTGGAAAGAGAAAAAGCCTGCAGGATTCACCCGTGAATCGAAATTCATTCTGGACACAGTAACAAGTATTCCCTTTTGTGGCTCGAGTTTATATACATATAGAAATTAAGATACACTTTTAACGTACACTTTAATTCCGGTCTATATTTCAATCTAATGATGAAACTGTTATAAAATATATATAGAAACATAATATCTTGTTTAAAATAAAAAGAAAATACATTTTACAAAAGCGTACGTCTTAAATAATACAGACGAAATCAATTAATTTATATGAAAATTGAACCAAAGTTCCAGGTGAAAATATCAGATGAATAATGAATAAAAAAGAAATAATAATATATATATATATATATATATATATATATATATATATATATGTATGTATGTGTGTGTGTGCGTGTGTGTGTGTGTGTCTCTGTATATGTGTGTAAAAATTCAGATATAAACAAAAATATATATCTAAATAGATAATATGAATAAAAAGAAAGGAAAAACTTTTCTTTACAGGCACGTTTGCTCCTTATCAAGACAAATGTAAGGATTTTCTCTTGCTATAAAAAGTAAAACCGTTGTTGTCTTTTTAATTTTTCTTTTAATTTTAGAACGTTTTCTTGAACGTTCAGGTAAACTATGGTGGATGCTAAAAGATGTAATTTTTGTCTTTATTCATATACAGTTGTGGACATAATTATTCACTCCCATTGGATACTTGAATATTTTCGCAGAAAGTACTTAATTTATCATAAATATTAGATTCCGCATTTAATTTTTAATAAAACGTGAAATTTATAAAAGTTTCGATCTATTATTCTCAGAGATACAGATTTTTTCTTAAAATTATTGCAATTCAAAATTATTTGTCACCCATTATGAAATTGCAATTGGCAATTGTAATTTTATTTTGTTCTTAATTTTATATTTAATACAAACTCCCTTTCAAAATGAAATAGTTTTGACCCGATTCTATAACATTCTAAAAGTTAATAAAGAAGACAATATGTAAGAGCCACGTATGGCGATAACTTATTCGTTCTTAAACTATACAGAAGCCGTATGAAATTGACAAGAAGCTCCGAATAAATGCAGTTAATAATGAAACTTATTCTGTTGAGAATAAATTAAGGACTGGTAAAACGGTTAATTTCTGAGAGAATGGAAATTAGAATTCTCCATATATGTCTCGAAGAATCCTAACGTAACGACAAAAGACTTTTACAATGATGTAAAAACCCCAGGGTTGAATGAATCGACGAAAACAGTTACTAGATGCATTGATCAAGCCGGACTTCGAGCTTGTCGCCCGAGAAAAACTCCCTTGTCTAAGGCTAAACACCTGAAATGCAGATTAGCTTATGTTAGAAGCCACCATCTAGAACATGGCAGTAAAGATTGGTACTCTATTTTATAGTCAGATGAAATCAAACTAGAATTACTTAGTAACATGAACTCTCGTTATATATAGGGGAAAGTGGATGAAGCTCAAAAGAAATCCTGACCTAAACTCCATTGAAGATTTGTTGGCATATTTCAAGAAAAATGTAAGAGAAAGAAGTTCTTCGAATTTGGGGGAAAGAGAAGCTATTGCCTGAAAAAAAAAAGAGAAAATACCTATCAATATGTGTAGTGATCTTACAAGGAACTATAAAAATCGATTAATGGAAATAATCAAAAATAAAGTTTACACAACTGATGATTGAGGCAAGTGGGCCAATAATTTTGTCCTATGTTAATTTTTTTTTACTTAGTCTTTTTTTTAATTATTGCTTGACATTAAAATAAACATTTTGTTGTGGGTATCACTGCAGATTCTTTCAAATCAGTTATTTCATCATTTGTAAAAAAAAATGGACACGCAATTTCCATGAAAATTTGAGGTATTACAGCTTCATTGGTAATTATGGGAGTGAGTGTGAATAATTCTCTCTAAAACTGTACTGATCAAATCTTTACTAAATAAATAATAATCCAGCTAGATAGATAGATAGATTTGCGCCACATATTTATAAACACAAAATGTTGAAATCGATAATGGGAATACAGAAATATTCCCAAATAAATACTAATGTTTTGGGACTTGGTCATATTTTTGAAAGTAGGTCGTTCTGAGACCTTTTCAGCAGCCATTCATAATGAACATATATCGCTGTTCTTCACTTAAAATATTGTACTACAAATACATATACACACACAGATAGATAGATAGATAGATAGATAGATAGGATAGATAGATAGATAGATAGATAGATAGATAGATAGATAGATAGATGATTTCTAATTAATGTAACACAATGTTAAATGGGACAAAATTGCATTAGCCTTTTTATCGCGCCAATCTACCAAGTGGAAATTCCCGCATGCCATTAATGCTTGCCTTTAATCACAAAGTTCAGACGCCAGCGGGACCTTCAGTTCATCCAACTACTCCTTTTAGTTCTTTTTTTTTTCCTGTAATGTTGATATTTTTATACAGAATTTATTAATTTATCTTTTTTTTTTTGGGGGGGGTGATGGAAACCGACTATTGAAACAGACCAATAAAAACTCGAACTGATTTGCAACACAATGTAGCAACCATGGATTCAGTATATTCTTGCATTCTATTATTCGTATCGAACAGAAACTGATTTCTTTCTCCTACAGAAAAGCTTCTCGTGGCAACAATTCAAATTTAAAATTCCTTTCATTTGTCCATGATTAATTTCTTGTAAAACGAAGAAGAATATCGAAGTGCAACTATGGTGTTCTAAAGATGGGCACTGAGAAAACCATGGACATAATATATCAGTAACGCGAAATTTTAAATGCTACCAAGAATAACGTTCTATATCTCTGAGATAAGGTATTTTGATTATTGACATTATTTAGATTATTCGTTCTGATATCCTCATCTTTATTGCCATATTCACAACGTTTCGACCGTTGTACGCTCAGGCCTTCTTCAGGGACACCTGGCCCAGTGGTCAAAGAAGTTGGTTAGAACCAGTGACTAGACCCAAGGTTTTGTGAGTTTAATACCAGGTTATAGCAGTGGTGAACCATAAAACTTGGAGAGGTGATTTAAAGTAAATAGCTGAGACATCCAGACGAGGTATGTCACGTGGAACTAGAACAATCTAATCCTGTAGACGGAAAAGGTTTCAGTTCGAATTTCCAATCACCTGAAGATAGCCAGAGCATACAACAAGCGAAACCTTGTGAATATGGCAATGAGAATAACAGTCCGAATAATGTAAATTACCAAGAATAATATGGGGAAATTTATACATAATATCAGAACGAGTTGGAAATTCTGGGACACAGATTGAGGAAAGAAGTCTTGGATAATTTAATACTCGTCTGATATTTTAAGGCAAGAGAAAGGAAGAGTGAAGTAAACTTCCTATATGGGCCGTATTCATTCAGTACTCGTGCGTTCATGGTTATCCACAACGTCCTCTTCCTTGTGACTCTCAGTAAATCTCACAGCCGGTCATTTATACAAGTTTTTTTTTTTATGTTGTTTTCTTCTATGTCCTGGGAATTTCAAAATTTCCATACTGTCTATGGTATTCACAGCATCCTTCTGTATAACCGCATTTGTGTTGCTTCAAGTATTTTCTTCATCTCTTATGTGGTAGCCGGGCATCCTCTGCTATATAGGAGGAACGGTATTAAGTATTTTATTTTGTTTCTAAGAAAACTGCCTAAATGAATTTCTGTGAATGGATACCAGATCAGCGGAAAGCAGCTTGATAAAGAGCCACACGTTTTTTAGGGTTACAAATGACACGAATTTGTGGAGAGGTATGGTCACCCAGGTCTTGATAAAAACACGGCATGCGGAAGAATCTGAAGTAGTTTAATTTAGTCAAGACTAATCAGAAAATTTTGAGAGGAAGTAAACGTCAAATAAATGTTAGATAATTATTTGCTTAAATAATAAATCATCTGTTTAAAAGTTCATAGCAGCCTGTAATGTAAATTTATAAGCAAATATAAATCTCGCTAAAACAGAATTGGACCTTACTGTCATATCATGTTGAAACACCAGTTACCGTACGACCACCGAAGTTAAGCAATGTCGAGCCAGGTCAGTACCTAGATGGGTGACCGCTTGGGAACGCCATGTGCTGTAAGCTCTGCTGTACCGTTTGCCCAAAGGGTAAAGACTCGGAGTTTTGAATCGGAGAGAAGAGTTCGAATTTCCACTGGGCATATTCACTAACGTGCAAATACCCTTGCGAAAAAAGTCAATCATTTTCCCCCCAGAAGTAAATTAGTTAGACTTGAATCAGTAAATTCTTAGCGTCTAAGATTATTTATTTGCTTTAAATAATCTGGAATGATTTGACAAACCGTAAATAAAAATCAATGCAATAATAATGCTTCTTCTCTAAAATCCTGAAATAAGATTAATATTTTTGAAAGAACGTTTCTTTACCAAGTTGCCATCGATTTATACATAATCTCTGGAAATTGAAGAGACGAAAATCAATCAAAATTTGATCAGGAAACTGGATGCAAGAAGGAATTTCCAATCGTCAATCGGCACGGACTGACATCCCTTACTTCATCCGCAATTTCCGCAAAGACTCCTGCATGTCGGAATATGGACAGAAATAGATGTATAATTTGTGGGAAGTCAAAAAGAATCAGCGAACAACGCAGTACAAATTTCAGTTGGAAAGATAATAGAAGACGCATGACTGAGAAAACCCTAGATGGACACCAGATAAGATGTACTCTTCTAAGACGTCAGGTGTTTGTACGAACGTTATTTTGATTGAAACATACGAACAGAGTCAGATAGTCAGTGAGAAAAGGAGAAAGAAAATGAGAGAGCCGGAGATAAATATAAACAATGAAACGGGGATATAGAAAGACAGACTGAGAGATTGTCGAGAAAATCTAAACAGAAAAAAAAAATGTCCACTTGCTGGCCGAGGAAAGGAGCAAAAGTACTTACCTTAAGTTGCGAAAAAATATTTCCTTCCGCGACGTAGCTTAATCGTCTGATAACTTGCATCAAGTTCCAAGAATAGAAAAAAAAAGGAGAAAAAAATCATTTCCCTTATAACCACTTCAGAGATCACGTGATAACAAATCACGAGACCTTGTAGCTATAAAAAAAAAATAGTAAAAAGGTAACAGCTTTTAGTCAACAAGAATCAACAACGCAGATCAGTATATTACTCCTCCCCTCGTCTGAAAACTCAATGTCTCTACAAGATATACAAAGTTTAAATTAAAATCTTTATAAACATATGACTTAGGACACCTCATGGCGGTGTAATGGTTAGCTAGAACAATTACGACTGAGTAGTGAGTTCGATCCTCACTGGGTGTCCCATATTTTCGGCCTAGTGCCACATTTAAGCTACGCTTGGAAAATTACGATAAACATATGACCGCAAATCCTTTGTTTTTGAGTTATTAAGTTGAAAGTTTACAGTAGACGCTGTTAAATGTACAATACAAGATGCATTCCAAAAATACTTTTACAAACTTTGAGGGCGTGTTCCTCACACCAAAACAAGGTAAAAGGTCCATATAAACATATGTCCAAAAGGCCATCGTTTTACCTTAACACAGCAACTTATAACAAATGTTCAAAATGTCCTTCGCTTGCTTCTACGCACACATGCTTCCGTCAGATCATTGACTGGCGGACCCTTTCAAAAACTCCTATACGGTGTCGAACGATTTCGCAGTGCCTGATGACACGTTGACAAAGGGTCGCTGCGTTATTAATGTCTACTTCAGGTGGCCCCACAGAAAAAAAATTAAGTATTGTGGTTAGATGGTTTGTTATTCCATCTCTTCCAAATGTTGCCTCATCCGTAAACAAGACTGAAGAGGCAAACAACGGATCGGCAGTTTGTGCAATAAACCATCGGCAAAAGTAGTCCCGTGGTTAGTAATCAGTGGGTGAAAGACCTTGTACTTTACAAATGATACGGATACAGGAGCTATGTACAACATGCTTGGACCGCTTGACGTGCGCTTATATCTGGATCGTCTTCGACATCCTGCAGAATGTGTTCTTCGTGATCAGACGTACCAGCGGATTTCTGTCTTCCTCGATCCATAGTTTGTGATACCACGGAACCTGTTTCAGCGACGTGACGATAAACAGCAGCAAAGGTTGGATGACTCGGCTATCTTCGCTCTGGAAATGCAATCTGATACAGACGTGCAGTTTCGTGTACATTACCATTCGCGCGGCAAAGTGTAAAAATCTTATCTGCCTGTTCACGATATGTATATCCTGTCATTGTTAAACGGAACACTTCTCAGTTAACTCATTACTACACACGTTAATCGGTGAATACAGACTAGCCACAAATATACACGAATGACAAATGTAACCAAGTCTACATGGCAACACAGCGCCATGTAACGTACTCTTTATTATCAATCAAAAAACGAATAATTTGCGGACATTTTTTTTCGGTGTGGGGTAATCTGCCCAACAATATTTGTAAAAGCATATTTATACTCTACACACACACACACACACACACACACACACACACATATATATATATATATATATATATATATATATATATATATATATATATATATATAACCCTTAAAGTAAACATTTACATGGTATGTACATGAAGATTATTGGTAACAAATTAGATGGTTATTATTATGAATACAGGTGTCACTTTTCTTAGGGTGTTTCATTTCATAAAATTAGATTCGTTAGATAAATTCGTCACAATGCGCACTCACTGTATTAGCAAAATATGTACATAGCCTAATGATTATAAAATAATATTCAACAAGTTTTGTTCTTTACCGTAATGCAATTATTATAATACACTGAAGTAACCTGAGTCACGTAAATTTAATATCACTATTTAAGTGTCAATTTTAAAATGAATTCAGCCGATAAATATGTTAATCTACGCATCATAGATAGATAGATAGATAGATATGAACAGACTGGAATAGAGTGATAGATATGAACCGAGTGGGATAGATAGATAGATAGATAGATAGATAGATAGATAGATAGATAGATACGAACAGACTGGAACAGACAAACACACACACACACACACACACACATATATATATATATATATATATATATATATATATATATATATATATATATATATGAAGAGAGTTAGAGTTTTCTGTGTTAGGCAGGATGGTAGAAGAAATAAATACTGTTTCAAATAAATGGAGCATCTCCTCAAATACGAGTATTCCTTTACAATAGCGTTGAAGCAATAGTAAATTAATCTTGTAGACCATTTATTTGTGTGTGTTTTTTTTTTAATACTCACTAGTTAGATAATGTGTCTGAAAGACAAGTTCTCAAATGCTTCATTATGTTCTGACAGAGAAGTGCAATGCTCAAGAGACAGGCTCATCGATAGGTTATTACTAATGCGGAATTTATAATCTTCACTGATAGGTGTGTCAAGTTTTCTGAGGCATCATATTCCAGAGGTAGCCCACAAATAGAAACGCATTTTCTCGCTTTAAAATTATTTTGTAACACATTCAAAGTTTGGAAGAGGGTAAAAATATTGGGCTCTAGACTTTCCTTAATATTAAATGTTAACATTATTTCTCCTGATAGGATTTCACAAAGAGAAATCGAGACAAGGACATCCGCCTGGTGGATGGAGTTCGAGGTTTTTTGTTTTTTTTGTTTACCTTTCCCGGAGAGGAAAGGGGGCCGACTTTGATGACATTAAAATTGTTTGTATATCTACAATTGGTGGCCACTTCAAGTTAAATACTACGACCCCAAATGAATCGAAGTGGCTATTGACAAATTTATTAAACGTATTAAAATTGGTGAAATTATTGTAAAGGATTCACTGGGGGTAACAGAAAAATCCTCAGCTGTCCACGTGTTTGAGACCTCAGTGTTACACTATTAAATCTGTGTTAATTGCATAATTGAATTATTATTATTTTTATTTTTAATTTTTAATCACTCCAAGCAAGGCGATAAATCCACTAAGCCGCAGAATTTTACGAGTAGTGAAAGAGAATGAGAAGAAATTAATCGGGAGAAGTGAGGAAAAGGCGAATAAAGAAGGAGGATTCAAGGAGATAGAAGATGGCGATTGACCTAGCATTTAAATTTTTGAAGATTTTAGGTAGCAGGGAAGCAAGAAATCGTAAGAGATTTCCATAAGCTAGAAGTGCAAGAATTACAAGAAAATAAACTATTAGAATATAACTTACGGTTGCATCTAGTTAGTTCGATAGTAAAACGACAAGACGTGGTTGCGTATTTAGTAATGTCCGTAAACTATTGCAGATGAGGCACTAAAATGAAAATTTCATCAGAAGAGTTGCCATTAAAATATTTGTAGAACATACAGAAGAAAGTAGTATCAGGTCGATGAGACAGTGACTGAAATCGAAATTGAAGATCATTTTCTATTACATTATAGCACATTCTTTGTTTTTTCTCAAGAATCTCGAGATATATCGTGGTAGCACCAAACCAATTACGACAACAGTATTCACCGCACACAAGAATAGTAGAGTTATAAATGCGTAAGAAGAATTTTGACAAGTAGAATGTGTTTGACTCGACACAGTGAACCAGTTTACCTATCATTAGAACTAGCAAAGGGTTCAACATATTTACTCCATTTTATGTCAGAGAAAGATTTGAAACCAAGAAGACGCAAATTTTAGAACTTCTGGAGATTAATATCATCCATGTTTATCGCAGACAGGAAACAAATTAATTTAAGGAAGATCTTTTTTTTTGAGGCGTTAAAATTTGCAAGCCATGCCTTAGCCCATTTAACCACTGACTGCAGTTCATTTCCAAGAGAAGTTGCCAATTTTTCTTTGTCGGACTTGCGACTAAGTCAGGTATAAATATTGGTATTGTGTTATCTGCATAAATAGATATTTGGCAACTGATTATATCGGAAATGCATTTGATGTGCATCAGAAAGAGCATAGATCTTAAGATAATGCCCTGGGGGACGCCTTCATACAAAAATATTCGTCTAGAGATACGGGTAGCTGTTGGGCTTATGGAGACGACCAGTATGACAAACCCAGTCGAATGACTTTGAGATACATAAGGCCACAGCCAGATGTGACGTCACCCCGGCCTCTCTCCAAGCCCACCGCCGTGCTATCCTGCGACGACCAATGTGACTTGGTATAGGTCGCGGCACCAAACGTGACGTTCTAACCCTTTGCTGATTCGGATGGGAATCTGGTTAGATTCGGTATCAGCCTTGTCGTTCCCAGCTCGCCTCCAACGTCTGGTTACCGAAGTAACTGTTTTGATCTAGTCTAACCTACCCACGTTGTGATTTGATCTTAGGTAGACAGAATTAATCAGTCGCCAAGCCGCAATGCAAGTCGAGTCCGAACACGGGTAATACTGCACAAGTATATCTAAAAGAAAATAAAGTAACAACTCGAAAAGTTCAAATGTTTTAAAAAAGAATAACAATATTTTATATCTGGTTGCTGAATACAGTACCGCGTCTATTTCCCAACCCGCTTATATGGATACCTGACACTTTGCGTTTGTTAGGCGAGTCTTAACATCTTAAGTTGTTTTTCTTTCTTTAAGGTTTTGGTGTATCTTCAGGCGATATTCGTAAAACTTGTTTTGGTGGTGTGAGTCTAAGTAGTTCTTCAAAAATAAATTGTTCTTGGTTAGAAGTTGAGGTCGTGATTGCGTGGGATCTCAGTCAGCTTTCTGCGAGGCGGGTCTCAGAGCTCACAGCTCAATTCTGCGTCTCTCTCTCCAACTCCAATTCAACTGCTTGCCTGTCTCCTCGCTGCGACTCTGCTTATATGGACGCCGACCAAAACCGGGGTGGGCTTGTCGGGGTTTGAGGTTCCTTGATAATTCTAAATCCACAATAAGGATCTTCTTTGTTTTCGGTCAGGAAAATTTATTACTTTCCATTTTTGGAAGTCCTTACTTTCTACTTAAAGGGAATCGTCCTCCCAAATTCATCCTTTCTCATATTGGTATCTCACACCAATCCCCTCAGAGGGCGTCAACAACTTTCCCCTCTCTCTCACAGTGGCATCTCACACCAATTCCTTCGGGGGTAGTCAACAGGCCTCCCCTCTTTCTTCATAGTTTACCTTTGCCTACCGCTCACGCCACCCTTCAGCCAATGAACGCTCAGCAGCGTGAGTGTTTGCAATTATCGCTCAAAAGAAAAACAAAAAAAATATCTTCTTTTTTCTTTTATTTCTTCTTTCCTTTTCTTCCACGAGCAGACCTCTACGAACCGTAGTGTGGTCCTTAATTTCTATCTCAACCGAATGTCATCTGGACTTTATCAATCGAGATTTTCGCCAGCGTCAAGTGGGGGGTTTAACTGGACGTATTTGCATTCTGTCGCTAATTATCTCTTCCGATACAAACTTTTATCATGTCCAAGTTTGGACAATAAAACAGGTGTTTTTGATTTTTGGTCAAACCAATGTTATCTCCGAAGGATAGTTAATGGTTTAATATTTCCTTATTTGTAAATTATGGGTGGTCCAGCGGACATTTTTCTCGGTCAGTACATGACCTAATTAATATTATCTCTTAGCTTTAGGAGCAAATATTTGTAGGATAGTTGCAGGGATACCGCCGAATCCGGAAGACAGGTGGGGACCTTGTTTAGAAATGATAACAGAAACCATGTGCCTCTCACCCAGTAGAGATTCTGTCCTAAGGCAAATATCAGGTAGTGATATTCTAGATGAGTACAGTGTGGATTTGGAAGAGAATTCCCTAGCAAAGCGCACTGATTTTTTTCTACAGTAAATAACAACACTTCAAATTTATTGAAGAGAAGAGAGTTGGTAAACTGCATATTAATAAAGCATGAAATTGTAAGCGACATAATTACCATACTGTGAATTGTGCCGGAATGAGACAAGTCTAATGAATACATGCATATATTAGATTTTGATGTAAGTTCCCACCGTTTTTTCATTGAATAAAATATACACATTTCAACTTCGTATTCAGCCTCTAATTTTCAAAAACGGTTGACGATAGTATCTTTTCTACAGACCTGAGTGTGCGTGTGTGTGCGTGTGTTTGTGTGTGTGTGTGTGTGTGTGTGTGTGTGTTTGTGTGTGTACACAAAAGTTTATACACCCTTGCAGGCATACGTTCATTTATGCATTAGAATTTTTATAAGGAAGGTGAGATAAAATGTAACTGATGCTTACATATCAATGTGTCTCTATTTAACTGATAATATAAAAGCGCAGACTGTTATGGGTGTCATTGCGCGCACGCACTAACATGTATTGTCGCAGAGAAGTTTCATTTGCAATCAAAGCTGAAATCTATAAGCTAGCGTCACTTCGTCTCCAATTGAAAACGTGAGGTAAAGATCTTATCAATATAAATCTTTGATGCAGCCAGCGAATGTCGCCAATGTACTACTGCGTCTTTATTCCCTCTCCGCTGCCTTTCTCTACGTTAAATCGACCAAGATTTGTTGAACAATGAATAATACTTTCAGTCGAGAGATTTTTTTTTAAATTATTAGTTTCATTTCATGCATTTTTGTCGCTGAAAATAACGCAGTGATTATATATTTTAGGCTGAAAGTTTACACCATGCTCTTTCTTTGAAAGTATCGACTTCTTCTTCTTCTTCTTCTTCTTCTTCTTCTCTTTTTCTTCTTCCTCTTCTTCTTCTTTTTCTTCTTCTTCTTCTTCCTCGTCGTCTTCTTCTTTTTCTTTTTCTTCTTCTTCCTCGTTGTCTTCTTCTTCTTCTTCCTCTTCTTCTTCTTCTTCTTCTAAGTGACGTGTCCCTTCAGAATGCGGGCGTTGAAAGATCTTTCCAATTTCCTATCTTTTTATAACTTATTGAGCTTTCTGTTTTTGCGCTTCCTCCTTGTCCCTGTTCAGTCAACTATTTGCACAAGCGTTTTAGGTAGGTTGTGCTACTTACCTTCAGTATGTTTTATGCGTGTCGAATTCTACAAGCCTTCTGTTCTCATGATATGTTTTAGCAGTTTCAACTCTTTCCTTCCGGGTCTAAATATAAGTGTCCTTTTTGTTTCAATTTTCTCTAAAACTTTGTCGTTGCTCACAGTGTCCTGACCATGGTATTCGCAGCAATCATCTGCAGAACGACATTAAATTTGCGTCAACTCAATTCTTCATCCCTGAAAACATTGTCTAACATTCACTGTCATACCGAAGACATTTTCCAACATACTGAAATAGACTGATAGATATGAAATTACTGATGTAGATAGATAGATAATGAGGAAAAGGAGATAGGTTGATAGTTATTTATACGATACTTATTTATTGTTTCACTCCAAGCAAAGTGATAATACGACATTGACACAGTGGTTGCATGGAGTGAAAGAGAATGAGCAAACTTTAGTGAGGAGAAATGAAGAAAGGGCAATAAACTAATATGGTTCATGTAGACAGAAAATGGCAATTGACATTGCATTTAAATTTTTGAAGCTCGTACGTGGCAGGGAAGGACATGAAAGAAGTTTGAAAAAAAGAAACTCTTATAATTGAAGTGTCGGTTGCATCGAGTTAGCTTAACGCAAAAACGCAGACACCTAGGATTTTTATTTATAATTTCACCTCAAGCAAGATGGGAGTGCCACTAGTACGCAGAGGTTTATAGTGAAAAGGAGAGTACATACTGGGTATAGGGGTGTTGCACCGGCCTCTAACACAAGGGAATTACACCGGTTCTCACTATATATAGTGCCAGTAATACCTACCCGGTGTAAGCAGCGACAGTACTACAACTGCCTAGCTGGGTAGTACCCGTTTCTTACCTTTGTATCTGTGATGTTAAATACACTTGTTCTTTAAACCAACTTCGACTTGATTTTCTTATTTTTACTATTGTGCCACGACACAACAAGGGGGCGGGAGAAAAAGATAAAAGATGAACGTGTTTCAATTCAACATTTGATGGCGGTTGAAGTTGCATTTAAATTTATGTAGATTGTAGTTATCAGGGAAGCAAGTAAGCGGATGGCAGTTCCACTGTCAGAAAGTGCGAGAAAAAAAACTGTTGGAATAGAAGAGGCGGTTGCCTTTAGCTTTTTCTACAGTAAATGGCTGGGACCTAGATGCCAATCTAGTAGCACGATTACATCCGAGTCGTCGGTGCACCAGGGAAAAATGGTCGTCAGAGGAATTGTCATGAAAATATTTGTAGAAATGTCAGAGGGAAGCCACCTCACGTCTGTGAGAAAGTTACTGGTGATGAGATGCCAAGTCAAGATCAATTACATTATCGATCCTACTTAGTATTTTGTCAAAATCCTCGAGATGAACAGTAGGGGCCCTGGACGAGATATAGCCAGAATATTCAAAGCACGGATGAATGGTAGACTTGTTAATGTGAAAGATAAACTCTGAGGTGAAAAACATTCTGTCACTACACAATGAGCCAACTTTCCTTGCAGTAGATGCCGCTGCTGATTCAACATAGTTCTTCCACTTCAAGTAAGTTTAAAACGTGAGGCCAATAAATCGCAGTATGACATTCTCCCGTAGTCGAGCTTACAAACTTGAATGCGGATCAATAACACAAAACCAAAAGAAGTAAGATTTGTTTTCCTGTAAAGTATTTATCCTTTTTAAATTTGAAATTTGAAATTCATCAGATAAAAATGCTTATGTTATAAAAATGTATATAATAAAAATGAAATGTAAAATTATATAACAATAATTAAAGTGTAATTAAAAAAATAATAATACATTTGACAATAAACTAAGTTTATTTTCCACTTTCTTTTGAGGGGAGTGATTTTTTTTTAATTGGGTAATGTAATTTACAAACACATAGTATAACATTTCTGATTCAATTGAGAGCTGGTTTGAGGCTAGATTTTAAAACACTGACTTGTTAGGATTTCAGTATTCATAAGGAAGACATCGGCTAGTTCTGGGTGTTGAACTTAGAAGAAAGAAAGCAGGAGGGTTTCGGCATCCACAAGGAAGATGTTAGCTTGTTTTGGAATCTGAACAGAAGTAAAACTAAAAACTTCTGACACTGTGTCTACTATAATGATAACCAAAAGAAATAAGAGAAGAAAGAAGGAAATTCTATAAATTTACAAAGATATACAATTATTTTTTTTATAGTTGTTTGTTAAAGTTTGACAAAAAATTAGAAGCACTAACCCTGAATTTGAACATTTTATGAAAATACAAGATTTATCCGATCCCAGTTTGTAAAACTGAACTATTCTCTAAACAAACCAAAAAACCCAGATTCACATGTGAATCGTTAACCTTCTCAATGCTGATTAAATTAGAACAGTTTATTTTTGGAGGCATTAAAATTTACAAGCCATTTCCCGCCCCAGTTAACCACGGATTGGAGGTCGTTTTCCAAATCAGCAGCCAGGCTAATTTTATCAGCTCTGACGTATTTGTTATCTGCATAAACGCCTAAATGGGAACGGATGAAAATCATAGATGAAGATCAGAAGCAGTATAGGACCAATTATAGAGCCTTGAGGAACACCAGCGTTCATGTGAAAGGATCTGGACGCAAGCCTTTTCAGTGTTTAAATTCATGTAGTCGATGCACCAGATAAAAAATTGACCATCAGGAAAGTTGCCATGGGAATATCAATAGAAAAGACAAAGTGACCCACGTCCCATCTGTGTGAAAGTGACTGAAGTTGAGATGCCAGGTCAGGATATATTGCATGGCAGACAATTCTTCGGATTTTGTCAATATACTCGAGATGTACATCAAGCGAACCAAACCGGATAGATCATTTCTGCAGGGCATGGACGAATGGTAGATAAATATGCAAGATAGATTCTGACGAGAGACGATTTTCTGGCACGGGACAGTGAAGCAAATTCCTTAGCAGTAGACATAGCAATTGATTCAATAGAGTTGATTCACGTCATGTCATTGATCCAAGGAAGTCATCACGTGCTGCTCTCCTGGATTTTGCTTCAGCCATGTTGGTGGCAAACAGAAATATTTCTTTATGGTGATTAAATGTAAGCAGTTTTGTTTTGGAGCCGTTAAATTTACAATCGATTTCTTGCTCCAGTTTTACACCGATTCGAGGAGATTTTTTAGATCCGTTGGTATGTTTACTTTGTCGAGTCCGCCGGAATTGCTACTATGACAAGATTAAATAACTGTGTTATCTGCATAGTTGGGAACTAAAGATCAGAAACAGCATAGATTTAAAGATAGAGCTCTGGAGGACCCCCTCGTTAGTATGAAATAGTACAGAATCGTGACCCTTCAACACAACCTTAGTTACACACTTTGTAAGGATTAGATTAAGCCAAATATTCTTTTACTGACATCGTAGCACTTGTACTTGCGGACAAGGCCAATCATGCCAAACCAGTTTGACGCCTTTATCGAGATTTACAGCCCGAGTGCCTTCGTTCTTACCTAAAGATTAAGTGACAACTTCAGGGATGACCATCAACACGTCGGCGGTAGACCTTGTGAAACAGAAGCCATATATTTGTTCGAAAGGAGACCGTGCATAGTAACATATCGAACACTTTGGCGTTGATATGAGTCTTGAGTACTATACCAATAATAGATAAGATATTAATAGATAGATAATTTGAGGTGCTCGGAATTCTTAAAAACGGGAACAGGAAAGTAAAAATGCTTCGAGGTATTTCCTGTGATGTATGAAAAGTATAGGTGCCAGCTCAGTAGCACATTAAGACGACTGGAAGGATCCCGTTCCATCCGCAGATCTTGTGGGCAATATATATAGTATAGATATAGTATAGATTCCTTTCTAGTGGGGAAGACTCGCAGAGGTTTTCCGGATGAGTTGCAAGTGGAGTTGAAAGAGAACTTACGAGCAAAACACTCTGCCTTACCTGCAGTAGATGTCAGTATTTTAAATTGATTGAATAGAAGATGGGCTGAAGCTTGCACTTCTTCAATACACCTTTGCAGAGCCGCCGGTATTCTCTAGAATCAAAATGATGACAGATTCCCCGAAGTTTTATTTATTAGCATACAACGATTTTTCTTTGAGGACACGCTTGGCCTCATTACGAGCAAAGCGATGACTGTTGCACTAGGTACTGTCGCTCTAGTATAGACGGAAAAATGTTCCTATAACGCTAAGTGCTGGATTGAAAGCTTTGATGCCGGCTTTTAAACCAGAAAGAGACCTCAGTGGTTCATTTCTTGTCAGGATGATTAAATATATCTTCCTAATGAGCACCTCGAACGATATCGCGAAACGAGTTCCAGTAAGTGCGTTGATAAAAGAAAAGCATTCTGTTCATAGGAACTTCGTGAATGGTACGAGAGCGGAAAGAG